CCCCCGCGCGTTTCATTCCCCACCTGCTTCGCGCTCCCTCCCCTACCCGCGCGACACATGGCACAATAGGACAAGGCTTACAAAGCATCGAACATCATAGAACTTTGGCACAATAGGACAAGGCTTACAAATCATCGAACATCATAGAACTTGCCCGTGTTTTTTTTTTTTTTTTTAGTTTGTTTTGAAATTAATTCTTTTCTAAAATTTTTCTTTTTTCGCAGTTAGTTTTCTTTTTCATAGTCAGCAATTATTATTCCCTTTTCCCTTGTCAGAAATTAATTTCTTCGGAAATACCCTAACATTTCATTTATTCCACCCAAAAATTGCATTTCCGTTTTTGAAATTCCAAAAAGTTTTTCTTGCAAACATTTTAATTACTTCAATAATTAAACTCCGGAAAAGAACCAAATCAACTTTTAAATCCGAATTCAACTTTCTTTTCGTTTTGAAAATTCTCGAATTTATTCTCCAAATTTTGCTTTATTTTTTTTCGAATTTAACCTTTTTCTTTTCCAACATTTCTTTTCTTTTTTCAAAGTAATTTGGAAATCTCGATTTAAATTATTTTCATAATCATCAATTAAATTCGTTAAAAATTCAAAATAACCCCCCAAAATATAGCAATTTTTTTTGAATTTTTTCATTTATTCCAATTTTAAATTTTTTGCATTTTGTCACGAAAAATAGCCCGAAATTTTTTATTGTCATTTAATTTTTTTTTCCAAGAATTTTTCCCTTTTAAAAATTAATCGTCTAAATTCGAATTTCATTATCTTAAAAATTTAATTTTTCCCTTTTCTTTTCCCCCGAATTTCCTGCAATTTTTCTTCGCCATATTTTATTCCATTCGAAATTTACGTTTCGATTTTAATTTTCTTTCCCAAAACTTTGCCCCCGAATTTTCAAACCCCCCCCCGCCCCCTAAAACCACATGCCAACCCTGCCAATCCAAGACCTCCCAACACGCCGCCGCCGCCGCCGCTGCTGCCGCCGCCGCCGCCGCTGCTGCCGCCGCTGCTGCCACCTCCGTTGTCCCCTCCGCTCCATCTTCTCCCTCTGCCCCACCTTCGTTCTTCCCCATGGCTGAAGGCACCTCAAGCATCAACATGGGCTCGCTCCGCGTGGATTCCGTTGAGGATATCCACCGCGAACTTATCGACCAGCCAGGCACCTGGGAGAACACGTCTCCTCTCCATGTTTCAAGCACTCTCTGCCTCGCTCCGCAAAATCGAGGCCTCCATGACCTCCATATCCGATCGCGTCACCTCCCTCGAAAACCAAACACCCGCCATCATCACCACCCTCGTCCTCCGACTAAGCCATCCAATCCACCCCCGCCGGCCAAACCGGCCAACCATCTTCTTCCGGCCAAAATCGCCAACCCCCCTCCTCCGGCCAATCTGGCCAAAGCCTCTCCGCCGGCCAAGCCGGCCAGGCCTCGTCCTCCAACACCACTCCCCCACCATCCTCCACCACACCTTCTTCCACTCCCGTCACTTCCCTTCCCATTTCCCTCCCCTCCTCACAACCTACTACAAGCGCTTCCACCACTACACGAACCATCCCCCTGCGCCTCTCCTCCCCCTTTACCCAACCTATCCTCACTACTTCCACCGTCCCCTCTGTCCACCCCTCCTACTCCCAAGTCCTTTCGGGCGTTTACCCCGCCATACCCCAACATCCTCCTTGCTACCTCCTTGGTGACCGCAGTCAGGATCACACCTGCTACGACACCTCTCCTGACGACCGCAACTTAAACAACCTCGCTTGCATCGTCCCCGGCAACGGGGACATTCCCCGCTCTTGCCGCGCCACTGATATCGCGACGTTCTCCGGCCTCCCCCACGAGGACGTCCTCCTTTTCCTCTCTCAAATTCAAAATGCTTTCGACCTCCACAACATGCCCCTCGCTCATTGGCTCCCCACCGCAACCTCCCGCCTCCAAGGCGCCGCCGCTCAATGGTGGTTAACCGAAGCCAACAACCGCCGAGCCAATGACCTTCCCCGCATCACCTTCCTTCAATGGGCCGACCTTCTCATCGCCACCTTCCGTCCGCAAAAGACCATCGATGACTACATCGATCAATTTTGCAACCTCCGCCAAACCGGCCCCACCGAGCGATTCATCCAATACGTTCGCTCCCTCCGCCTCCACATCCCGTCGACTCTCATTCCCGACTACATCTTCATCTCCCGCATCAAGCGGGTATGCTTCCCCCACCTCGCCGCACCCCTCGCCCACGAGCCCGAGCTCCCTCTCACCGATCTCCTTACCCGCCTTCTCCACCATGATCGCCTTCCTCACCTCCGCTCTCAACAACCAGCCGCCCCCAGCCGCACCCGGTTTTTCCACAACATGGCCTCCGACGACTCGTCACTCCCCTCCGACGACGGCTTTGACTCCTCTTCCGAGTCCCTTGACCCAGCCCAATTCACCGAGGAAGACTTCTAGGCTGTCCATCTCATGAGGATGGGACGGCAACGCCTGGCCTCCCAACTTTCCTCCTCCCCCCAACCCCCTCGTCTCAAAAAACTCACCCCCGTCGAACGCGCCTTCCTCCAGGCCAACGATTGTTGTTTCCGTTGTCGCCAGCTGGGGCATCAGGAAACCAATTGCCCCAAGGCCGGCCGCTCCACCCACCAGACTTCCCGCCCCATCGGATCCAACCCTCCCACATCCACTTCCTCCTCCTCCACCGCGGCCTCTGGGCCCTCCTCCTCTTAAACACTGTCCCCCCGCCCCTTGTAGCCATGTCTTGGCATCAACAATTCGTCTGCCAATCGCGCCACCGGCGACGACTTTCACACCGGACACCCCCCAGGCGTCGCAGTCTACTCCGCCTACCCTCCTCCCGACGACGTCCTCTATTCCGTCGGCTGAGCACCCCATGGCCACATGTTCCACTACCCTCCTCCCCAACCCCTCCACCATCACTTTCTCCGATCTCGTTGAGGAACAAGACCGATGCACTCGACTTGTTAGATTAGGCCTCGAGCAGCGCCGACTCAACGCCATGATCTCCTCCGTTTGTGCCGGAACCGCCCAGTTCCAGCTCAAATTCGTCGTCGTCTCCTTTGGAGCATCGGCGGTGAAGTTTCGGGCCCCTCTCGACATTGGTGCCACTGGCAACTTCATCACGGATGCATGTGTCCGCAAAGCCGGCCTCCCTTCCACCAGCTATGATTCCCCGATCACCACCCGCCTAGGGGATAAGGACTCGGCCATCGTCGTCGACAGCACAGTCCCCGAGACCACAATGACTGTCGGCCCTCTTCGCAGTCAGGTCTCCTTCGATGTCATGCACCTCATGTGCGCCATCGTACTCGGGACTCCTTGGCTCGACCGCTACATGCCCTATACCTTCCACCCCTCTTTCGTTCGCCTCTCCACCCCTCCCGATCCACCCCTTGACATCCCCTACCTTCTCCCTCCCTCCACCCCTTCCCCCGTCTCTCCTCGCCAATTTCTTCACATGACCCGTGAGCACCCGGACTCCGCCAACTATTGCCTTGTCATTGACCGCGAGCATCCCGAGGACTTGCTTCCAACGGACAAACCCGACCAAGACCCCCCTCCGACCCTCAGATCTCCGCACTCCTATCCGAATTCAAAGACATGTTTCCCGAATCCTTGCCCGCCGGACTACCTCCCGACCGAGGTGTTTCCCACACCATCGATCTCGAGCCCGACCACTCCCCCCCTTGCCGCCCCCCATACCAGCTCTCCGTCCCCGAGGCCGAAGAAATGAAGCGCCAACTCAATGAACTCCTTGAAAAAGGATTCTCCTTGAAAAAGGATTCATTAAGCTAGCTCCTCCCCCTTCGGAACCAGATGTCTATTCGTCAAGAAGAACGACACCTCGGAACTCCGCATGTGCACAGACTACCGCGCCTTGAACCGGATCACGATCAAGAACAAGTATCTGATTCCCCGGATATCCGAACTTCTTGATCGCCTCCGTGGAGCCAAATACTTCACCAAGATTGATCTTCGCAGTGGCTTCCACCAGATCCGCATCCACGAGGAGGACACCCACAAGACCGCCTTCCGCTCCCGCTTCGGGCACTACGAATTTCTCGTAGTGCCTTTCAGTCTCACCAACGCCCCCACCACATTCCAATCCACCATGAACCACATCTTCTGCGACCTCCTTGAAGTCTGTGTCGTGATCTACCTCGACGACATCCTTGTTTTTAGCCCCACCTACGAGTCCCACCTTGATCATCTCCGCCAAGTACTCGCCAACCTCCACGACCAGAAATTCTACGCCAAGCTTAGGAAATGCACATTTGCTGCCTCTAGCGTAGAATACCTTGGTCACGTTGTCTCCACCGACGGCATCCGCATGGACCCCAAAAAGGTCTCTGCCCTCGTCGAGTTCCCCCCTCCCACCACTTTAACCCAACTTCGCTCCTTCACGGGACTCGCCAACTACTACCGCCCCTTCRTMCGCAACTTYTYCGAYGTTTCCTACCCTCTCCATGARCTCACCCGTSCCACCGAACCCTTCGCTTGGACAGACCGCCGCCAAGCCGCCTTCGACAAACTCAAGGAGCTCATCACCACTGCCCCCGTCCTCAAAATCGCCGACCCCACTCGCCACTTCTTCATCACCACGGATGCCTCCGACCTTGCCATCGGGGCCGTCTTATCCCAGCACTTTCCCCCCGACCCCGCGGAAACCCCCTCCATCAAGGACTCCCCCACTCACTCCCAATGCCCACCCGGCGAGCGCCCCATGGCATTCGCCAACAAGAAACTCCTTCCCGCAGAAATGAACTATCCATCCAACGAGAAGGAGCTCTTCGCCGTGGTCTACGCCCTCAAAGTCTGGCGCCCGTACCTCGACGGGCAATACTTCACCATCCGTACCGATAACACCGTAGTCTCCTCCATCTTGACCAAGAAAGACATCACCCCTCGCCAAGCCCGCTGGCTAGACTTCCTTGCGCAATTTACCTTTACCATTGGTCACACCCCTGGCAAGAGCAACCGCGTTGCCGATGCCCTCTCCCGGCGCCCCGATCACAACCCCCCCGAGAAAGTCTATGCCGCCATGACCCACATCCAGCTCCTGCCATCGCTCCGCCATCGCTACACCCAAGGATACCTCTCTTGCCCCGACTTCTCCACCATCTACAACAAACTCCGCGACCTCCACCCCGTCCCCGACTACTCCCTACATGACAACCTCCTTTACATCGAGACCAAAGGCACTCGCCGACTCTGCATCCTTGACGCCCGTGGCCTCCGCACCCAGCTCTTGGTCGAGCACCACGACGCCAAGACCGCTGGCCACCTTGGTTTCCAGAAAACCTTTGACACCATCTCCCGATATTTCCATTGGCCTTCTATCCTTGCCGACGTCAAAGCCAACATCCGCTCGTGCCCCACATGTCAGGCTGTCAACCCCTCGAACCGGGCTAAACCCGGTAAGCTCCAATCATTGCCCATCCCTACGCACCGATGGCAGTCCGTTTCCATGGACTTCGTGTGCGGTCTTCCCAAGACCGACCGCAGGCATGATTGCATCTACGTCATTGTTTGCCGCCTGACCAAACGTGCTTATTTCATTTCTTGTACCACCTCGCACAATGCCAAAGACATTGCCATTCTCTTCTTCGACCATGTCTCCCGACACCACGGCGTCCCCGAGAATATCATCAGTGATCGCAACCCCCGCTTCCTCTCCCAATTCTGGAACAACTCTTCCATGCCTACGGAACCACGCTCAGGTACAGCACTGCATTCCACCCACAGACGGACGGACAAACCGAGAAGATGAACGATACTCTCCAAAGAATCCTGCGGAAGAATTGTCATCCCCACCAGCATGATTGGGATCAGTTGCTCACCGCCGCCGAGATTGCCTACAACAATGCCGTTTGCCCTTCCACCGGCATGTCCCCCTTTTACCTTGACCTTGGCTAACACCCCCGCTTGCCCTCTGATTTCTTGCTCCCCTCTCAACTCAACCCATCCTCCCCCTGCCCCTCTCTCAATGAATGGGTTGCAACAATGAACCGTCTCGTAAGAGAAGCAACCGAGCCAATCCAACACACCCAGGAACAACAAGCTCAACAAGCCAACAAGCAACGCCGTGATATCACCTTCCAAGTAGAGGACAAGGTCTGGCTCTCCGCCAAACGCTTTGAACCCGAACAGGGCTTGTCCAAGAAACTCTCAAACAAGTGGCTCGGTCCCTTCCCCATCATTGAACAAACCTCCTCCGTCGATTACAAACTCCAGTTTCCCCCCGACATGAGTCGTGTCCACCCTGTCTTCCATGTCGAATACCTCAAAGAATACCATGAATCCCCGCCACAGTTCTCTGATCGCCCTCACCCTCGTCCCCCTCCTATCATGCTCCCCACCGGACCTGAATTCTCTGTGGAATCCATCATTGGCGGTAGAACAACCCAAGTCGCTGGTGACCCGGAACCAATCAAAGAATACAAAGTCAAGTGGACAGGCTACCCGGATGAAGAATCAATATGGGAACCCCTTGAAAATCTCAAGAATGCCATGAGACTTCTCCGTGCCTATGATCGTTCCCACCCTGCACCCTAGCTATCGCCCTGCCTATACCTTGGCTAAAACCCTGAACCCTTGCTTAAACCTTGCTACAATCTCGCCACCTTGTTCTACACACACCCCTGCCACAGCCACCCTTGCCCTTGATCCCGATTCCTGATGTCTGATCTGCCCTTGTCCCTTGCCTATCCCTGCCCCCTTCGCCCTCCCCACTTCCTTGTCCATCTTGTCCAATGCTTGTGGACCTGCGTGACATGGCATGCGCACGAGGACGATGGCTTGCGGCACCACTGTTCATGGAGATTATGCAGCTGGATTGGCCACCATGCTGCTACACATGCCCGGCACCCTGCCTCGCAGACTCCCTGGAGCAGCTACTTGTGACATGAACCATGTACCAGTCTGCGACTTCCTTGCTACCAGATCAGACTCCACTGCAGATCATGTACCGGACGTGCCCACAGCCATCGAACATGGATCTCTTGACTTTCCACGCATCAACACTCAGCGTCTTGCTTCTCCTTGCTGAAGACTATTGAAGACCCCCCGTTGCCGCTGACCAAGACCTTTGCAGTTCGCCTTGCCTCCATCATCGACCTGACCAAGACCTCCTTCAAGACCCCTATTGCTGCCGCTGACCTGGGACTGCTCAAGACCTCCCCCAGACCCCGTGACCCATTGCAGGCCTCTGACTCTGTACCCACATCCCATCAAACATCCCAGCCCTTGTACATGCAAACTGTGCCCTTGGACCTTGCAACAAACAATTTTTCATTTTTTTCTTATTATTTTTATTTCATCCCCTGACAACCTATAACCCTGTAGAATTTCCACTGAAATACCCGTTCACCCTTGTAGAACATCCATAGGAAACCCTGTTACCTGCTCTCCCTTGTAGATCATCAATAGGAAACCCTGTTACCTGCTCTCCCTTGTAGATCATCAATAGGAAACCCTGTTACCTCTTCACCCTTGTCTATAGGACTACCCTGTTCCCCATGCAGCACCCCTTGTTCATCATTAGCAGATCCCTGTTTCCCTAACCATTGTTTCCCGTACCCACTAGAACATTGATAGACATCCCCTGTTCCCCTGACCATTATTTCCCTTACCCAGTAGAACTTCAA